TCATTTTCTCAGAACCTATTCGCTGGTTTTGTCATCAAGTTATGCAAAAAAATGTGTCTCTAAATTGCTATTGTCTAAGGCTATAACCATGACATTTCATGTGTGAATGTGAGTCAAATGTAACACACAAGATTTTTCCAATTATGAAATATTTATATATGAGTCCCTATGATTATATAGCATATTGTAATACACAAACTAAACCACATCAGTTCACTTGAATAGAGAAACATGAAGTTGTTCAAATAAACTGGCTTGGAATAATGTACTGATTTTTTGTAAGGCCCCAATATTAGTAGAAGACAGAAAATTAAATAAATATAAAACTTGAGAAAAACAAAAAATAAAATAAATATTATAAAAGGACCCAGCTATTACACTAAAACCTCAAAGATTATGTAACATTATCACAGCATGCAGCACTTTTATCCTCCTATCCAGAAGAAAACAGGGTTGGGAAGACCACGCTGGCAAGACCTCCTTTACGCAGCCACATCAAAGAATTTGTCAATCATGGTGGACACGTCTGCTGGGCTGTACTTAACATATTTCTCTGCATTCTTGGTGAAGGGTACACTGACATACCTGGAAAAAAAGAGAGAGATATATATAGACATACTAGAGACTCCCAACCCAAACATAAAACACTTTCTTAAAAAAAGTAGAAACATAAACATAAACAGATAACAGCAGCAATACTCACTTATCATAGAAGATCTGGTACTTTGGCAAAATGTATTCCATGTTATCTCTCTTGAGGCTGACACACAGTTCTCGGTCCGGGATGGAGTAACTGCGCTGTACTCGGCACATCTCTTCCATCTCCTTGTTGAAACCCTGAAATTACCAATCATATTTTTCTTTATCACCTCTTTCTCAATGTCCTGGAACTGGGAATGTTTTAGTTTTTGAAACCTTGTTGAAGCATTGAAATGGGAAATGTTATAGATCTGAATCCTTGTTGAAGCCCTAAAATTTGTCAATTTTTTATTTTATTTACAATCATTTTAGTTGAATCTCTAAGATTCTCAAATACAGTGTTCTGGGGACACCATGTTGTGGACAGCACAAGGTCCCACAATACCTGATGTGCAGACATACTTTTGGATTATGTTGTTGTCTTGGCAAGTGGCAAGTAATATCTTCTAGTTTGTATTCAGCTGACTAGAATTTTTAAATCAGAATATTATGAAGCAAATTAAAGGAATGTTATATATCCTGGAAAAGTTGGGGTCTTAGTAACTTGAGCCACTTGAGCACCTCAGGCAACTGAGCTATTGAGCTCACAAAGAAATTAACTACCGAAGAAAGATAATTCTATACTATAATAAGAAACAGGTCACATAATTGACAAATGCTGAACTTACTGAAAACTTGTCCTTAATAAGCTGTCGGTCTTTGTCTCGCAACTTCCCAGCTTGTATTACAGATAATGGGACATCCTCATGATTCAGGTAATGTAATACTTTACTCCAGCTGGAAAAAGGTGAAATAATATAATTAGTATAACAAAAAATCAATTAAAACACACACACACACCTTTTCTTCTTTCACCTCCTCTGAACATCTCTGAACAACATTCAACAAAGTACAATGCTAACCTCTGCGAATACAACTTCTTCTGCTCCATGATCTGGTCATTGTACATCTTGTCGCACTGGGGTTCAACCAAGGCAACTAAGTTCAACAGCTCGGAGTTCTGCAACGTCTTGAGAATATAGTGGTAGTTGTTGAGTCGGAAGATGGAACGAAGGGTTGTGTCGCTGTAGGACTCGCTTCGGCTGACGAGAGCGAGACCTAAATTCACAAGGACACGCTCTGGGGTGAGGAAATGGAGATTAGTTTAAGAAGAGGATACGGGGACTATTTTGGTGTAAGGGAAGTTGATTCTATGTTTTTTTTTTTTAAACATGTCATAAACGAGAACATTGGTATACTACTATTTTTCCTACTTCTGATCTACTATTTGTCCCTCTCTCTATGCTTCTCCCCCCTCCCTTTCTGTTTCTCTGTCTGTCTGTCTCTGTCTGTCTGTCTCTGTCTGTCTCTGTCTCTGTCTCTTTCTCTCTCTCCTCACCTTGATAATTTTACATTACTACTCCCTTACACCCAAATACTCACTGATATAAGCCCCAAGCAGTGCCTTAGCCAGTAGATTCTGGTCCAGGCCCCTAGGCAAGTTAGCAAGAGCAGCACTGAGGCTCTGATCACGCTGCAACATTGGGGACAAGGTCGATGCATATTCCAGGAGCTGTTCTGTGAAGATGAGCGCATTGCTTGTGACCTCATGGACTGTTCCGTCCTTGGGCAGGGCGCGCTCCCCATCACTCTTGACACTCTCCACAAAGCCTTCCAGAGCCTTAACACACTATGAATGAAAGCAGAAAAGAGATAGAAAAAAGGGTCACTCTATCAAGACATAATGTGCTGGGAAAATGTCACAAAGTAGTTTTGATGCATAATTTTATCACAAGCTTCTGTAGTCATTCCTCTAACTGCA